TGTTCCTACCGCCTGTCCTTGTCAGGAATGGTGGCCTAAAAATGCTCCTTCTGGACAGAGCAACATTTGCAGGTATGAAACTTTTCACATCCTGCAGGCTTGGTGAGCGCCCGGTGGGGCAGGGAAGGAGGGAGGGAGAGAGAGACCCACAGAAACCTTCTTTTGCCACTCAAGGGATTAGCCTTGGGTTGCCAAGGCAAACTGCAAGGAAAGGCTCCCTGCTGGCCTGAGGCTCCCCAAATATTGAAAGTTTCATTTCTCCACCAGGCCACGGGACTCTGACCAAAAGTGAAACTTCAGCAGGACTTTTTCCGAACTCCAAGCAGAAGTGGTGGCCACGCTAAGGGGAGGAATCGGGCCCATCTCAACCACTGACTAGCATCGAGGGCATCCATATGCTGGTTGCATGTCTGCTGACATGCCTCTGCATCACTCGCCCCTCCCCTCCCCAAACACACACACACACACGCATTCACCATTCAATCTGTCTTGGCAGCTTGACCCTCTCTCCACTTCTCTGGGCTCAAAAAGGAAGCCACTCCTGAGCGCTGACTTCCTCTCCCCAACACACACACACACAGCCTAACGAAGGCACAAAAGAGCTGCCCCTCTTTCCTGCAACAGTATTCCTCAACCTCGTAACTTGAAGGGGTGTGGACTTCAATTCCCAGAATTCCCCAGCCAGCTCTGTCCCTTCCTGAAACAGCTGTTGCTTTGTGGGCTTGATCCTTCTGGGATACCAGGGCTGCTGCCAAGGGGCTCCCCTCAAAAGGGTTGGAAGGATGAGCTTTGCGACGAGTTTAAGCCTTTGATTACCAGCAGAATATGCTTTTATCTCATCCGGCCGTAAGAAAAGGACTGTATTTTGAATATAGACTGCTCTGCTTGCATGCAGTACCACCCGTCACCACAATGCCTAACTGGGAGCCCTTCCTGGTAGTGGTTTTTTTTTGCAAGCTTCTACTACAGAGCCCATCCTTCCCACTCTGAGCAGACAAACCTGGGCTATTTGAACCTCTGATGTTGTAGTATCTGGCTTCACTGGAGGGGGGGGGTGTCATTTTGCTCAAAAGTTATCATTCCTGCCTTAAAGGCACAGTGCAGTGCAGTCGCACACTTTCAAAAACAGTTAAAATTCCCATGTGCAAACTACTATTTTCTCTGGTTGGGTGAAAGATAACTTTCTCTTCCAAAATGTCTGCAGAAGGACCCAATTTACGGGAACCAAGCAGGTTTCAAGTTGAAGAGCACTTTAAAAAGTGCTTATAGCCGAAAACGGGTTTCTTGGTGAGAAGCAAAGCACCCTAATCTGCAAAGAAGTCGGGGTTGATGGCGGGGAAGAAGGAGAAGGAAGTATGTAGTCTCTATGGGAGGTGGTGACCCTTGGAGAGCTGTGTGCAACGCAATTTCATTTCAATGTATGCCGATAAGAGTACATTCAAAGTGACAATAAAGTCAGAGGTCTCCAAACGTGGCAACGTTAAGACTTGTGGTTGGACGCTGAAGAGACGCAATCCATTCACCCCCAGAGAACCCCAAAGATGCTCCTGGTTCTCGTCCTTGAACAACCTGGATGGGCGCAGGCCCCACCCTCCTCCTGCTGCTGCTGTATAAACTGGTTGCTGGGCCTTCATAACAGTCCAAGGATGGGCAGGGATGTAGGCCTTGGTTAAATATTTGTGTAAAAGAGATTGGCTGCACAGGGATTTTCAAACACAGGACGCCTGATCTCTCTCTCTCTCTCTCTCTCTCTCTCTCTGTGCTGGGAATGGGGAGAAAAAGAGAGAAAAGGCGGAATCCCTTGGGATGGGAGGAGAAGCCAGGAAAATTAGGCAGACGCCAGGAGGGGAGGGAAAGGGCCGTGGTAAAGCCAAGCCTTCTAAGGGGGCAGATTTTTAACCCCCAATCAGAATAATCCTCAAATGGAGTAAGAGGCAGACTAAGAAACTTGCATCACCTCGTTTCACAACAGATTGCAGCCAAAGAAGCTTTGAGGATCCTCAAGTTCACATACCTGAGCATGTGTACCTGCATGTGCCTGTTTTAAGACAGACGTGAGGAAAAGGGATCCTCACACAAACAACCTAAACTCATGAGCCGTCTCCATGATACCATCTGGGCCCCCGTCTCCCCACTGACTCCAGGGCGGCCACCGTGAAGAAGACCAGAAGAGCCCGTGAAAAACTGGTTGCGCAGGCTACCCCGGCGATGACTAAACAGGGAAGAGTTTGCCTTCTCCAGCGGCCTCCGCATCCCCAGGGAATTCGCTTCTGGCTGAAAGGGGGCTCTACCCTAAAACAATCATAGTTCCGGCTTCTAGAAATTCCCTGGGTTTGCCGACAGTGCCAGAGACGGAGCAAGCCAATCCTGAGCATTAAGTGCAGAGGCCGCCAGGTTCTTGGCTGATGACCTCCCCCCCCCCCTCTGCTTTTCTGCAGATTTTGGCCTGGGAAGGCAAGGCTACCTCACACTTTGATGTCTGCCGGTCTCTGCAAGGCCACATGCCGTAGCACCTTCTGACACAGCCTCATCCAAGTCTTTCCCACATCTGGTCTCTACGGTGAGGAGCCAAAGCAGGAGGCTGGGAGGCCCCTCTGCCTGTTTCCCTCAAGCCCAGAGAATGGGGGTGTATCGGGGGGAATTCCCCGTTCTTCTTCCACTGTGCTTTGAGGGGAGAGCTCTTGGTCCCTGCAAAATCTCACACATTTCTATCACCCCTCCCTCTGCCGGCTCCCCTCTTCCCTGTCAGGGCAGAAGAGTCACTGCTCACACATTTTCCTTCCATCCAGCCTCTGGTCATCAGAATTCACAATCTGTGTGCTGACCCTTCACCTTTCACATAATGCAGCAGGCATTGGGAGGTGGCTTGTGATTCCAGCGGTCCTGTTTCATCCCTGAAGGTGCCCAGAAGAGGACTTTGCCTTTTGCAATCTGCACCCCTAAATGGCAGGGCCCTGAGTTTGTAGTGACCTGCAAAGTCCATTTGCGTCCCCACTAATTCAATTCCTTAAACAAATCACTCTAGTATAGGATCTACACAGCTTTGAAGATGTGTCCCCATTATGTGAACACATGTAATTGCTACCTTCACACAACACACCTACCTACCCAGCCAATTACTTTCACCCAGGGCGCTGCTGGGCTGACTGGCAAAACCCTTTGTTCTGACTTTTTTGGGCACTTCCAGCAGACTGGCTGGCTGGTGTCGGCTTCAGGGCAACCACAACAACTGGGAGCCAGACTGTTTTTGATCATTAACCGGCTCCCACCAGGTGATTCCGACCTGGGCGCCTGCAACATTCCTCCCGGGTTTGTTTACCAGGCTGGAGGGGCTCCAGCAGCCGAAGCTGGAAGCCTCTCAGGACGACAACTTCCCTTCTCGGCCGCCGCCTCTGCGGGCACGCAATGCAAACCGGGCCCAGGAGAAGCGCAGCCGCCCGCCCGCCCCGCCAGGAGGGCCAAGGAGAACTTGGGGTGCGGGAAGAGGGGGGGAGCTGCTGCCATGGCGGCTTCTAGCCCAGCCCGGCCAGACCCCGCCTCGGGTCGCCCGCTCCTGGGGAAGTCGTAGCCTTTCTCTCGGCTGGCCTGGGGCTGTTCACGGACCACCATCCGCCTCCAGCGCTTACGTGACAGCCAACGCGCTTCTGCGGGCTGGGGGGGGGGTCTTAAAGGTCATTTAGTCCATCCGTCCCCGAGACAGAGCGTCCGCAGCAGCCTTCCGCCCCTCCGACGCCTTCAGGCAGGAAGCAGCCTCGCGGCCGGAGTGCGACGGGGCGCGACCGGGTGCCCAAGCGCCCAAAGAGGCGGGCGATGCCCCCCGCCCGGCCCGCCCAGGCCCCGCTTACCGGCCAGCAGCGAGAGCGGCAGCAGCAGCCAGTAAAGGACGCCGCACAGGACCCGCAGCTCCATCGCGGCGGGGCTTCAGTCGCAGGGTCGGCGGGCGGCCGTCGGCATCGTCCCGGCCCCGGGCTCCGAGTCCCGAAGCGGCGCCTGGCTGGGCGCAGTGCGGCGGCTCCGTCGGTTTCGCGCCCCACCCGAGCCCAGCCGCCCTCTCTCGCCCTCGGCCCGCGGGAGCTCAGCCCGTCCCCGGGGGAGGAGCGGGGGGCGGTCTCGGCTCTGCCCCGCAGCCGGACCCAACCTCGGCCGGCCTTCCGCGCAGCGCAGCCCCGCTCGGCCGCCGATGTCCCGGCTCTCTCCGGCCGCGCACGTGCCAGCTCGGACCCTCCCGGTTAGAGCTGCTGCTGTGCCGCCTCCGCCTCCGCCCACCCGCCGGGGCCGCCCCCTCCCCTCCCTCCCCTCCCCTGGCGCTATTGGCCGGGCGGCAGCTCCACCTAGTGCCCGCTGCGACGGCCTCTCCGGCCCGACACGTCGGACC